TTCAACACCATCTAGGAAACAGGAATTTTAAACGTCTTCTAATCAAGCTTTCAATAAGTAAATCTTTGTAAGCACTGAGAGAAATAATTTCCATTCCAGTAATTTAGAAGTACTAGATAATTATAATTTAGAAATGCAAATAAGCTTAGAATCTCCGCCTATAATGGGTTTAAAAAGCCAAGCCCATGTAGTTACTGTTAAAGACTAGGTCAAAACAAGCACAAGGCCATTATTGAGCGATAAATGCACCGTTGCCATTAGATTTTTAGCACGACTATCATTGTCGATAGATAGTTACAAAGTTGGTCGCACTTGTTAACGATCGTATGTCATCTACACCGATCACTGGCGGATATGTGGCTCCATATACGAGACATGTTATACGACAGACTCTCAACCTTTTAATAATGTGTCGCCACATATTCATATGTAGATAATTTCCTCACTGTCCGATACTCAAGCGCGGGGCTATAAATTATGGGCTATATGGCAGCTTGACTGCTGTTGATTTTTATCAACGTCATCAGCTTAATTGCCTCACTGTGCGAAGTGGCCTGTTACGAGCCGAGTTCACTCGACTTGGCCGCGTTGCCTCCGCGAATTTATCTTTAAAATACCCACTGCACGATGGAGAGAGTGAGAGCGCAGTGTGTAGTACCTGCAATTACTAATGAAATATGGCTGTCAGTAATTATTTGTTATAAATTTGCATAGAAATTGCAATTTGTGCACCGCACTCCTCCAACGAATCACAATTCTCTCGCCCAAGTTGGCGGCATTATTAATGACAATGTAAGCCCATGATAAATATCGTTGACACAGTCATTTTAAGCCATATACTTATGCACTTGTTTATACTGTCCGACATCACATCTATCTGAGTACTAGTTCAATGTTAATTCCCATTTTCCGACCTGTGTGCCGGTCATAAATGTCATGGCAATGAGTTAAGATTGGCCGCTTTATAAATCACTCTGTTGCTTTGAAAATTGGCTACTGGCGTTACTTACTAACAAAAATATAACATTATTTTATATTCTCTAGTTCTAGCTATCAGGGAATATTACATATTTGTAACCATATATATTTTCAACAAACCATTATGTGTACATTTTTAATTTTTAACGCCTAACTAAATAAGAAATAAGTCTGTTGCCTTTCAATATGTTTTTAATGTCAGTAAGCGCGATTAGTTTTGTATATAATTTGTATATTTTAAATTCAGAAAAATTGTAATAACTAACTGTAATAACTAACTATTTTTTTTTTTTTTTTTTTTTTTTGGGCTGAGGGGGGAAAATGCCTTCTGCATCTCACACTACCGTCGTATGTGTGGTATGTGGGGCTTGCACCCACTAAAAACCCCTCCTATACAACAATACAAAAACATATCGCGACTCGACAACATTAAAGTAACACTTATCAAACTAAAACAAAACATCTAAAAATAAACAAATGTGCTAAAGGCAAATATGTATACATGAAAATTTACATATATCTATATTAATACGTACATGGGAAAATGTGCAGATGCGTTGGAAAATTACGCTTTTAATTAGGATAATCATGAGCGAAAATCTGTGGCAACTAATGTGAGCAACAATTTACGTTAAACGTGGACCATTTGTAAACAATTTGTTGTGGTTGTGCTTGGGGATAGAATCGTTCACTAAATTATACATTTAATTATTTTCCATGATTTCCGTTGCTGAAGCAATTTATCGTACCAAATGTGCAATGGATTCCCGAAGGAATCATGAAATAAATGTCTTGTTTGTCCAATTTTCATAATTGAAATTTTGTTTAATCGAGCCCAAGTTATAATATATTTGATTAGCTTTTGAGTATGTATATCAGCATAATTTTCATGCATTTGACTAAGTAGAATGGGTTAAAACTTGTAATTTTGGCAACTGACACATACCAAATGCATACCAAACAACAGCCATCCACTGACCATTTAGCCTTGGGTCGGTTAATCGTCTGAAGTAATTCCACAACAAAAACTCCAACTCAACATGCATAATTTACGTAACAAATGATAACTCGAAGAAATGTGAAGCCATGCATAAATTTTCCCCCAACTCGCCGGTGCCACAGACTGCAACTGGAACTGCACACACAAGACAGGTAGACATCAAGCAGACAGACTCCAGGCCAAGACAGAGGATTTGCAGGCGAAACTGCTTTTGATTTATTACAGAAAACGGACCGAAGGTGCAGGAGAAGGTTCCGGAGGAGCAAGATGAGGAGGATGAGGAGGAGCAGCCTTTCCTGGCAGAATGGCAACTCAACTCATCAGCAGCTGCAGTCAGCTTTGTCTCTGCCTCATAATTTATAAACAAATGCGAATCGGTCGAGTTGGGATGGGAAAGTGAGCCGGGAAAGGAAGGACTGTATGCCACAAGGGAATAACAGTCGTCCATCTGGGGAGGGGGGACGGGGGACGGTGGATTGGGGGCGGAGCTGGGGGGCCCCGGGTTATGAATGCACGTAGTTATGCCCTCGATGGCAGGCAGCCTGAATTGATGAGATCATAACGTGTGTTATGATGCCATATATAATTCCTAGCTTTCCCCGTTCAACTGACAAAAGTGGAATTGAAAAAGTCAAAACATTAACATGTGTATGGCCTGCAAATTATAGATTATGATTTGCACACTGAATTGGTCTTATAGTCTTTTTTAATGACATTGACTGATTAGAAATACAAATTTTTAGGTGTTTGCGGTACCTCTAGTTAAAATACCTCCTTGAAATAGAATTTGATTCCAAAATATGGGAAATGTTTGCACATACCAAAAATTCTACAATTTAGTTTTTCGGGTTTTGCTTAAATTATATCCTCAAAGATTAAATAGTACAATTGTAAATGGTATAAATGTAATTTAATTGGATGAATACTTTGATATCGGAAATAAACTTTTAAAACAAAACATTTCAATAAAAAATGTCACCATTTTTCAGATCTAAATAACGAGGAGAAACAAACCAATCACAAATTAAATTCTATTGCCAAATTTAAATAGAAAACTGCAACTGGAATTTTCAGAGCTTTGTTTGCCATATTTAATCTGTTTTCTTTTATTATTTTGTTTTATCTGCCCATTGTAAATATTTAATGAATATCCCTGCAGGGTAAAACTAGTTGGCAAATTTACAAACTCTTCAACAGCTCCATATTGGACCTTCAAAGGGTAATTCCGACAATTTTCAGCCCACCCACAAACGAAACGTCAATTATTCAAATAGAATTGCTAAAATATGTAGACTGTCGTGACGTTTGGAAGCACTCGCCAATTTAATTACAGTTCCATCAAATGCACACACTCAAGGCAAAAGCAAAAAATATTTAAAAATGCAGACAGGCCATTGAGTTTTTGTGTCGTTTTTCTTTTTTTTTGGGAGCTATGAGATTTTGTGAGTACGGCCTTATGTGGGAACACATTAAAATATGAATAATTTACACTGAATTACTCGAGAGCTCTTGAAATGTCTGTTTCTGAAATTGTGGATTTTTAAATATTCTTAAAGCTTAACTTTCAATATATCTCACTCTGGCATAAAAAGTAAATTCTTTTTTTTATTAAAGAAATGTTATAACATATCTGTTTTGCCTTTTTTGCGTATGCTATACTTTATTGACTTTATCTACGAATTCCGTCGTTACAAATGAGAATAAAAAACCTGTCCCAGTTTTTTTTATTTACGTAAGCTCAAAACATTGCCAAGTAATTTGTGAACAGTTTAGATTCGTGATTCCATAAGTACCGCTCATTAAGTCCATTTATCAATTCAGTTAAGGGCATGTTAAGCCCACCACTTACCAGTAATAATTGTATCTATAAGCCTAATGACTAATAACCATATTCGAGCCACACAAAAACGGAATTTGACGCCCCAATGCGAATACAATTGGTACGCAAATAAAAAAGCCCTCTTACTCAGATTTGACGCCCACTGTAGGCGTTGTTCGCTGGGCATTGCAATACTTATCTGCATAATAATTTAGTGTAGTTTTAAATGGCCTTTGGCCAATTGATCTGATACCGAGATCTTGTTATACAGTAGGCACTCTCTACCCGACGAACAAGGCGTTGTTCCCTGTCGGCTGGCCACAAAACAAACAATAAAATTAAATAATTACAAGTCGTGAGTGAATTTCACGCGAAACCAAATGCTGATGCACACACTCCGATAATGCGCCAAAAAAAAAAAAAAAAGCCAAACTGCAGAGTCCCAAACCCACACAGAGCTGGCTGAATATTCGAAAAATGCGCAACGGATGCCTCTTGACCAATGGACATTGCAAAAAGCCCGTTTTATATCGATGACAATGTCCCCAAATAAGTGCCGGTGCCAACAACTGAGCCACATTCAAAGGGGTGCATCGCTGCGCAGACAAAATCAAACCACGCACGAATGCCGCCAGACGAGGCCAGTCCAGTATGGGCCGGCACAAAAGGAGAGTATCCCACTAAATTCCTGGAACATGTTTAAACGATGTCGGGCATTCGGAAAAAAGAGTAATGTTCGCCGGCATCCCGACCATGGTGACAATCTTTTTAGCATAAAATCAAAGTAAGTACTCGATGATACTTCCAAAATCGGTGACTCGCGGCCGAGATGATTTGATAAGTGGTCCAGCTATACAAATGCCAGCATTCTTTCATATTCCCTTGGGGGATTGCAAGGAATGTCAAAAGATGTAAGAATCCATCCTAGCTAATGCCTGAAACACCATTTCCTTATTAGTTTGGTTTAGTTTAAATAAATAACTAAATTTATAATTAATTGTTTAATGGTCCAATCATTTCTTATCTAAGAAATGAAAGTCAATCCACTTATAGCGTAGGTTGATTTTTAAAGTAATATATTTTAAAGTGCATGTAATATTACTTTGTAAGATAAAGATACACTTGTTTCTATTGTGGCGTGCCCAATTCAAGGAAATTTTTAAATTTATAGCCAAAGAGTTAGTAAATAAGCACATGTAGTGGCAAAAAAAATGGGAAACGTAGTGGGTCCGTAATTAAGCTAAAGTAGATGAATGCGTCGCTGGTGCGTGCAAATTGAAGTCCCCGAGCAAGGACCCACTGGAACCGGAGAACGCACCCACATTTCAGGAGTTTTCGCGGGGGTCAGCTATAAAAGGACACTCCGCATGGATGGCGCAGCTTAGTCGCCTTCCAAGCGTCCAGTTTCGTGGACAATGGCTGACATTAAAGAGGACGAGGAGCAAAAGTCGGGCATCAGCATTCTGCCCGGTCCGGAGCTACTGGCTCTTCCAGGATTTGATACCCGGGCGAGTATCGCCTCGGCTGCTCTGAGTGATGTGCCCAGTGATGTGATCATCAAGTCGCGCATTCGATACGGAAGTACTTTGTCCGCCTGCAAAGGCCTACTTCTGGAGTACGCGAAGAGTACGACTATTCACGGCATCCGATATATCTTTGAGGTTCACAGACCCATCTACGAGAAGTGTGTTCTTTATAAGAGCAATCCCAGAATCCATTTTTAAATAAATTCCTATTCCTACAGACTATATTGGCTGTTCTTCACTTGCATCTCCGTCTACTTTGCCGTTTCCCTCATCTGGGATACCTATCTTAAATGGCAGGATTCGCCGGTCATCCTGGGCTTTGATGAGACTCTGGTGCCTGTGCATAAGATACCCTTTCCCACAATCACCATCTGTCCAGAAATCAAAATGGAACGGAGTGTCTTCGATTACACGAACGTATCACGTCTACTTTGGAACGAGTACAAGGAGAGTGGCAATGTCAGCGATTTAGACGATGAAGAGTTGAGTATTTGGGGTATTATTAGGGTATTAATTAAGCAGGATTTGATTGATAGGTATATTTTTTAAAATAAAACAAACTGTGATGACCGAAACTAAAAAACCCCATGAGGCAAAGGAGAAATAACTTTGTAAATATCAAAATAACACCGTATCTCTTAACATATTCTTAATTTTTAATAGTACATTTCTGACTTAAATTGCATTTGTATAATTTTTATTTGAAAAATACCTTAAATAATTCCTTTTCTGAATCCCCAGCTTGGTCCGAATGGCGGCTGCAATGCACATCTGTGATCCGGACGTGGTGCAGCGACTCGCACCGTTGCTATCGCAACTAAATCCTACGAATGTGGACGTAACCGAAACTCTGATTGACTTGAGTATCTCGAAGAACGTGACGGGGCCGTTTTGCAAGTGGAATGGACGGTTCTACTTCTGCAACAAGATATTCGACTTCGTGGCCACCGATGAGGGTATCTGCTATCAATTCAACGGCCTGCGACCAAAGGACATTTATCGCGACGAGAACTTCATCAGTTATGTCGATCCGGATGTAGTGAACTTTAACGACTACTTCGATGTGGACCTGCCGCCCTGGAACAACATAACTGGCAATTGGTCACTGGATACCGGATTCGTGGACCAGGGTCAGAATGCGTATCCCCAAAGGACGGTGTTCTCATCGGTGAAGAATGGGTTCTTCGCCTTTTTGCAGGGTTTGCAGCACAACTTTGACTACGATTGTCGCAGTTTCAAGCAGGGCTATAAGGTGTGTCTTAAAAAGAAAAAAACCAAACTGGGTGTGGATCTGAGCGCAACTAATGTGTAATTTGACAGGTCTTTCTCAACTCCCCGGAGAGTGTGCCGCTGACGTCGGGCAATTATATCTTGGTGCCCCATGGCGATGAGGTCCTGGTCAGTGTGCTACCCGCTTATGTCGTGTCCACCGACAATTTGCACGAAATTACCCCAGAGAAGTGAGTTGTGAGGTGTTCAAAGCGGTGACACTTTCGATATAATTATTTTTGCTTAGACGACAGTGTCTGTTCGATGATGAGCGATCGCTGCGCTTCTTCAAGTCCTATTCGCAGAGCAATTGCCAAACCGAATGCCTGGCCAACTACACGGTTTCCAAATGCGGTTGTGCCAAGTTCTGGATGCCCAGTGAGTGATCTTTAAGTTGGCTTTAAATTACTTTATCTCAATTGGTATTTTCTACAGAACCCGTGGGCACTCCCGTCTGTGGACTGAATGACATCACCTGCTACACAACTGCCCAGGATGAGCTCTACGCCCAGCTGCAAAATGAGACGATGGCCAAGAGCATCGATGACAGTGTCGACATCACCTGCAACTGCATGCCGGCCTGCACATCGCTTGAGTATAATTTCGAGATTTCCAGGGCCAAATACGACGTGGGCAAAACCATTCGAGCCTTCCGCGAAGTGTATGAGCATACAGAGTGAGTAACTAAACCTTTTATATAACTATTTTTTGTTTAACTACAATCCTCAATAAAAACGCCTTCTTATTTCAAAACATCTCAAAAAAACATATATTTTTTTATTTTTAAAGAAACTAAATGTCTCTTGTTCTAAAAAAAATGCAGAGGAATCTACTATATTATCCCCTATTTAAACTCTTAAATTTAAAGTATTCCGAGCTCTAACATAAGTAACATTACAATCTTTTAGTGCCATTGGATCTCGACTCTCCGTTTACTTCAAGGAGCATCAGTTTACGGCCATTAAACGCACAATTCTTTTCGGAGTCTCCACCTTGATTTCCAACTGCGGTGGCATCTGCGGCCTGTTTATGGGAATCTCGTGCCTCAGCTTCCTGGAGCTAATCTACTTCTTCTGCATGCGAATCTGTGGAAGTTGCCGCGATAGGCGTAAGCACAAAATCCAACAGCAGAACTCAGTGGATCTACCGGAGGATGAATCTGAGAAATAGTCGGCGATCTAAAAGATCACCAAACTTGATTTTCAATCGCATAACACGTTGTGTAAACGCATATTTGAAAATAAATCGATTGTATTGCAAATCTAACCCCACTGTTTTATTTAAGTCATTCAAATAGCAACATAAAGTTGTCTAACATAAAAACATTTCTCACTCTGAATGACACATTCCGAATGCCGGTAGTAACGTAGCAAATAAATGCATTTATTTAGTGCTCCAGTCACTTAGTAGTCCAGGTAATCGATTACAAATTAAAAATGCATTTGATAAGCACACCGTCAAAGCAATTGATTTGCTCTAATTAATTGATTGCAACACTCTAGCAGAACACAGAAATTAATTAAATTGCCGATGCAAAGGAGGAACATAAATAAAGCATTTAACAAGTTTCCATCGAAATTCCGTCGCTTTTTGTTTTTTTCCCTTCGAACATAATTCATAAATGTCGAGACCCCGAAAAGTATATATTTAAATTTAATCTGTTCGCACCAAATGTCAGATCTAATGGATTTTGTCACTGGCCACAAATCATAAAAGAATATTAAAAACTTCAGCATTTTCAGCATTATTAATAAGGCACTACAATAAAAAATGTGTTCGCTATTTCGCTTTGATCTTTTCGTTAGGTCGTGTGGCTGTCGAAAAAATGAAGGGGAGACGATGGAGATTTATCGCAGACAAATATTTTGCCTTCAAGAAAAGTCACTCGAGAATCTGCATAATGCGTATGGGTTAAGTCTCTAAATTCACATTCCTGTCACAATTTGTTTACGGTTGAGAATTATGAAAGTTTCATTTTCGGATATTTTATGATAATTGTAAAAAGATTTCATATATTATTAAATTTATGAAGCATACTTATATGTGTGTGTTTGGTTGACAAATTGTTGGCACAGCTGTTTGTGTTTTAAATAAGTAGATGGATTTTAGTTAATGACCCTCAATCCAATTCTCTTAAATTGTTTACGACTCTTGTGACGAAAATAAATTCCTATTGAAAGTCGTCAAGGAAATACAACCAGTATATATAGAAATAATATGTTAGCATAAATCAACTGCAGTCCTAAATAATAAATTTCCAAGCTTTTCGCAACATTCTTCAAAATGTTAGAGCAAATAATTCTTAAGACGTCAATAATACTGTGTATTTTAAAAGCAGACAAAACAACAGATTAATGTTGAAGAGTATTTCTAAACGAAATGATACCCTCTAAGTTTTTAAATATGACACACGCAGACATTTGGAAAATAATATCCCTCAAGAAACCATTTATCAAGTAGAATAAACACATTGTGTTTCATCGAGCAAACAGATCATTGGGATACTGAAAAAACAAAGTCTTATAGACTAAGAAAAAATAACACACAATATAATCGTAAGGCTCATAAATAAATCGCACAAACTACAACGTACTCAGAACGTAGAAAAATGAATGTGAAACGAAAAATACAAATTAGAAAAACAAATAAATAAAAATCTTAAGCTATGCCCGCCAGCCATCCAAGTCGAAGGCATTTTAAAAAGTATTTTCAAATTAATTTTTATTAGCAGGCGGCTAATAAACAAAAATAAAACCAACTCAAACGTACCATCGCTCCACTACACCGCCGTCCACAGGAAAAAATATAAATCTAGCTGAGAGAGCAGGGAAAACAAATATTTTTATTAGCATGTCGCGACATATTTCAAGGCACATGCTTAGAATAATGCAGCCGGCCGTCAGTGTTTAACAATTTCATTTGGAAAATTTGTATTTCTCGCCTTCTCACACTTTGTGTGTCTTTCAATTTAATTTATTAATCGTGCGTGTTCATCCGCACTACATTTGTGGGCGGCTAATGGCCATGCATCGTCTTGGCTCATTTCAGATCTGTCGTCTTGAAATAAGAAATTGTTTAGAAATACTCGTGCCCCTTTTTGTGGATTACTCAACGAGCAAATAAATTGAGGTGGAAATCCATTAAGATTGTGAATCATAATATATTTAAAGTTTCCATTAGAAAGGTAACCATTTGTATTTACACTCTGTTTTTACTTTATTTAATTTTAGGGCTCTTCTAATTTAAACAATCATAATCCATTTATTATACAAAATTATTCTGCTTTTAATTAATTATTTAAATTTGTAAATTTAATCGCGGTAATTAAAACAGGATTTGCTCTCAATTTACAACTCCAAATGCACTCCGAACAAGCTTTTGCAATATTAATCGCATTAATTTTAATTTTCAAGCTAACCAAATATATGGCTCAGCCTTCAAATTCATTTTATTTATAAATGCAATCAGTTGCAAACCAAATCAACTGCCAATAAAAAACAAGGTATATAAAATAACATAAAATTATTAAACAATTTTCATTAATCGATGCCAGTAATGTAATTACGATATACACAAAACCCACGACCAAACAAAAACAATAATAAAAAACAGATAATTAATTGTGACACAATTTTTTATGGCATTGCGTGCTGACAGATTTATGTTCATTCGCAAAAGAATATTTCTACGTTGGCATTTTTTTTTGTTTGTTTAACAAATATCATAACGCACAAATATGCAGATATTTATAGTTTACGTAATGTTCAGATTACGTCACGTAAAAGCACAATACAATTTTTAGCGAAAGAAAGGTAATTAATTTAACGCCCAACGACAGTATCATTACAAATATATTAATAAAGATAAAAGATATTTTAGAAACAATTTATAAGCGCGATTTCTTTTTAATTGAATTAAACAATTCCTCATTAACAACTATTGACAAGGCTCTCCAAATTAACTATTGTATTCAAGTATTTGCATATTTAAAACTGACAAAAAAAATATAAAATAAAATAAGCTTCACATTTTAATAATTTAATGCGCATTTATTTTACACCGCCGCCCATTAATATATGTCAAACTCGTGCATAAATCAGTTTGACAGCTAAACGCTGCCGTTGAGAGGCAGAGACGCCAATAGAAAGACGGCTAAGGAAACAGGGTAAAAAGAGAGTAGATTGAAACAAAGGTAAGTGAAATTACAATAAATTTAATACTCTACTTTAAATGCTCTATTATATGAGCTTGATATTCGGTTAATTATAATGCTTACATTTTGCATTCAAAATTGTTATGAATTACCTTTTTAAAAAGGATATTTCAAAGTTATTTTTAAATGATGGCCCTGTAATGTGAGTTGATATAATTACGTATACGTAATAATTTTATAAAAATACTCCCATATGCCTAAGTATTATATATTATATAATATTTGTAGAACAAAATTGCTCTGTTTATTTATTAAGGGTATCAGATCTATTACCATATTCATTATTTCGTTACCTACTTTGCACACAAAGTCTACACAACGTAACTGTCTGTCATTAATACCCTCGACTGCCTCGCCACTCGAGACTGTCTGTCAGATGAAGAAATTGATTGATTTATGCATACATTTAACTCGGTTTTTGTGATTTTTTGCTCTGCTCTTAACAGATAACCAATAAATGTACTAATGTAGCTAAACAAATGTTCAAAAATAACTTAGAGATAATTGATGGACAACATTTTGAAATCAACTTCCGTTTCGACTTAAAAAAGACTCTCAAAGAAGCCCCATTAATAGAATTTCGTTAAAATATTTAACTATATTTAAAAACGAACTTACATAAACAAATAACAATCTTTAATCTGAAATCTGACATGGATAAGATATTTTCTTTAAATCATTTTGGGTGTATTTATGCACATGGAAACATTTCTGATAACTTACATAGTTCAGTTGGGTTTATGTTTAATACTAGCTTACTTAAAGAAAAAGGCATTCGAAACCATTTACCTTTACATAATTTTTAATTCGTTTATAAATATTCTATTATATGTTATTACTTTAATGGTATAATAATAAAATATAAAATATTATATATTAATATGGAAAGAAACTGAAAACTGTATACTTCTATACCTTTCCGTTCCCGTTTTTTCATCATTATACAAAATAAAAGGTAACAGTTTTTCAAGTGTACAATGTTTCTACACATTAATCGTTTTAATTTTTTATAAGTGCATTGCGCAGAGTATTAGAATTGTATGGCACAAATCTATAAAATTATTCGCCTGTGGCTCGGGGCTTAGCACTTAATCATAATCAACTGTCGCGAAACTTCCAAGCCTACCAATCTGGCGACCTACCTACCAACCCACATTACTAACTGTTATTTCCAGCGGGCCAGCTCCATTGGACTCCCATGAGTCGAAAAGATGGAAACACAAAATACAAAAAAATACAAAAAATATAAAGACAAAACCCAAAATGGAGAACTGTGCACATAAATCAAAAACGTTGACGCTATGATTATGGCAGCATTGCGAGCGATAGGTTTTTAGAGGCCTCCGAGAAAGAAAAACAGCCGCAGACCAGAAAGAAAAATCGTGCGCAGAGGTGTTACAGCTCTGACAGTTATTCTATAAATTATGACAACTGACAGCTACATTTATAAGCCACAACTCTTGTATTCGTGCATAAATAAAATCGTTGACACATGGCAACAACTGAAACAGCAATAACCGACAACAATAAGAACAAATGTCCGCTGATTGAGGTCCCAGCTAATTAATTGGACCGCATTAAAAATTGATGCAAAGCAATTAACTTAAATATGGCGATGGTCAGCAAAAGATAAGTTCAGACCAAGGGAAATTCTCAAGCAGCAATCTTGCAAGAAAATGAATTAATTTGCCACAGGGACAGGTAAAGTTTAAACTGTTGTCAGTTTGTCTTATCGAAGGCATCTACATAATTAGCATAAAGCAATTTGGGGGGTGGAGTTGCCATCGAATTAAAAGTCGCAGTGCACTCGTGTTGGCAAATACCTTTACATCGATAGCTGGCCAATTCAGGTTAAGTGGTTGTTCATTCGAGAAGAATGATATTTAATTTTGTAGATATAGGCAGCGGATAAAGCAACACATTAAAGAAATGTTATTAGTTGGCCATCAAGATTAGACACCAATATTTATATTGAGTTGGCACCTTTATTTTGTTGATGCCATACAAGTACATATATGTATATCGAAAATGAAT